GGAAGACACCTACATCTCCATCGAAACGATTCTTGGACACCTGCAGGTATCGTTTTCCTGGCCCAGTTACCAGCTTCCTGTCCTGCAGGATCAGAACATTGTCCGCTTCCTGGCTTGCCTGAGGGACAGGGAGCAGAGGATGAAGGAGCAGTGAGAAGACATATGAGAGAAGCAGAAATGAAGGTCGAGCGTGTAGGGAGAAGTGGCAAGAATGGGGAAAGGAAAAAGTACTTTCCCTTTTCATCAAAGCTTTTTGAACTACTGACCATGATGCTGGGGCCATTCGAGTTTTTCAGTTCCTTAGCAATCTTGCTACCACCCCCAGATTTTGTACCTGCTGTTCCCTCTGCTTGTAACACTTCTCCTACACAGCCCATCACCCCACTCAACCCCAGTTTCTTATCATTGAGGTCTTAGTGTAAATGTCTCACTTTATCAGAGAGACCATTCTTAATCCCCATAAATAAAGAAGGCACCACCATCTTTCTACTTCAGTGTTAGTCTCTTCCCCAGCTCCATGTTTGTTTATCGTAGCACATGGTCTGTGCTCCTCACCCTGTGTTCCCTGTGCCCAGCCCAGGCCTGGCATGTAATAGGCATTCAGTGTACCTCGGAAGCTCCAGGATTGGGCTGGTCCTGCTGCCCAGAAGGCCCTCCCATTTAGTGATTAAACACCCACTATTGGCCAAAAGTCAACCCAACCTTTACTGACACCTCCTCTAGGAAGTCTCCCCAGATACCCCAGGATGACTCAGATGTCTTTTCTCTTTGTTCCCCAAATACCTGTGCTACCTATCATCACTTTTATCACACTGAGTTGTAATCACTGTCTCACTGTTTTCCCCACTAGATGATGTGAGCTCCTGGAGGGGAAGGAGAGCAAAGGACCTACAATTATTCGCCTTTATATTCCTCATGTCATGGCCCCAGCTGCCTCTTCCAGATGAAGTCAAGATGCTTTAAGGCTGACTAAGGACTATGCCTGGTCACACCTGCCCCTCTACTTTCCAAAGCTCGGGCTCCTCTAAAGGTCACTTACTTTGGCTGAACCAAAAATGGATGCTGTCTGCAGTTCCTTATCATCATCCTCCTTCCGGGGATGAATGACCAGTGTCACATGGCAGTTACTGTCTGTCGCAAACTTCCGAAAAGCCCCAACAATGTAGTCTTGAGCTGCAATCCTGCACCCACCCCAACAAAGCAAAGAGGTTATCAGATATCGACAGGACAAGAATATACACATACTCTTGATTCACTCACATCTCCACAAAGCACTACAACCCCACTCTATACTTTTCTTTATCCAAGGACTCACACTTAGGTCCCTGTCCATACTTCCTGCTGCTACACCCCACGCCTCATAAAGACATGGAGTGGGGTATGTCTGGACATGTGTCAGAAAACAAGAGAGTGCAGTGTGAGTCCTGGGGGCCAGCTGCCTGAGAAGACATGTGTGTCCAAGTGGGTCCAGATAGACAAAAGGACGTCACCTGTCCGTGGACAGCTGCTCGTGACCCATCATGAACTGCAGATTGTCGATGACTACATGACAAATGTCATAGACATAGACCGCATGCTGCATTGTGTCTATTACAGTCCTGGGAAGAAGAAGAGGCAATGAGTTCAAGCCAGCATTCTGAAAACCCCAGGGTCTGTTCTCCTGCCCTCCCATTCTTTAAAAACCCCAGGCCTGGGAATCTTACCTGATATTCTGTTGCCCATGGAAAGTCATAAAATAGAGGGGTAGGTCCTCGAAGCGGTCGGCCCACTCATCGTATTTGTCCAGTTGCTCTTCCAGCCGCCCCAAAGCAAACTGTGTTAGCATGATCCGAGCTAATCTCACGTTGCTGATCTCAAAGCTACCCCATAGCGTGTTCACCCCCTGGGTACATAAATCTAGGGCATACTCACTGATGAATGTCGTCTTTCCACTGCCTGTTGGCCCTGCAGGGGGGTTGAACACAGACCTGGGTGAGGGAGGGAAGTCCTACCCTTGAAACCAAGACATGGAGCAGGGCCTCAAAGTTGGGAGGAAAAACCCCCTCAACATTTACAGTAGTCCAAACCCACATGTCACCTGATCCTCTGCCACCACCCAAGCAGTGATTTCCCAAAGGGTAACCTGTAAAGACTGTCAGCTCGCCCTTCCGATGTCCCTTCAAGAGACGACTGAGGTCTGGGAAGCGGCTCCAGCGAACGCCAGCTACCTGCTCCACATTTGACAGTTCTCCTAGTACCTCCTCCCGAAGTTGCCGGAAAGACACAATAGACTTGTGCCAAGCGGGCAGGGCAGAGCGCAGAATTCGAGGAAGATTTAAGCCTCGGTTTAGGGCCTCCAGGGGGCGGGGATGCTGGTCCCCAGGCCGCACCAAGGAGCATCGCTTGGGGTTCAGTTTGCGGGCAAACAACTTGGCAGCTTCCCAGGACCGAAGGTCATCCCCAAGCCAGAGCACGATACGTCGGAACTGTTCGAGGTAAGGAAGTAAGGCAGGGGGCAAGCAGGTTGTTCCTCGGGGAAGGGCAAGAGTGGGCAGCCCTGTGGATTGGTTTAAGGCCAGGCAGTCCAGCTCACGACTCGTCAGTACCACCTCAACATCTCGACGATTGATCAGCGGTAATCCAAACAGATTGTGGTAGGCACCAGGCCGAGGAATGGTGGTCTCCACATAGTGCACTCCATCCCCTTGGCCTTCAGCCCCTAGGAGCTTTAGGCCTCGTAATCCCAAACCTCCAGGGGAGAACCAAGGGAAGACAAGGCTCCGAGCAGGCCGCAGATACCGCACACTGAAACGCTTGAGTGTGTCGTCTGTCACCTTGGTAAGGCCAAACATCGCCCGAGCCAGCTGCGCCTCCTCCTGCTCAGGCAGTTCCCAGAGAGGTACTGCTCGGTCCCAGATCCTCCGGATCTCCTCGCTGTCCTCAGCTCCTGGGGCTTCGCTCAGCAGGATTCCCTCTCTATCTCCATCCCCACGCCCTTCCACGCTGGCCTGGAAGTCTTCCCAGCTGCCCTCTGCTAGGCTGGTCATGCAGAGAAAGCGGCCGGTGGTCTTGTTAATGTAGAGGCTGAAGGAAGTGGGAGCACCAGTCTGGTCCTTGAGCTGCGAGGCTCCCAGAAAGGGGCTGGGTGCCCGCAGGCAGCTGTGGCCATCCTGGAAGGGGATCCCGTGTGCCCGCAGATATTGGCGGATTTCCGTTGCAGTTACAGGCAACACTGGCACGTCCAGGGCTGGGAGAGCCTCCTTCCTGTACCGTCTTCGAGGAGGGCCTGGGACCAAGCTTCGAGGCAGGCCCCTCCAACCCATCCACTTCCCGCGCAGGGACAGCAGGATACGGAGGGGGTACACACTTCGGAGAAGGACCCACATTCCTAGTCAAATGGCGGAAGCCCCTGCTTCCGATGCCTTAGGTGCCTGGTGCAGGTACCTTCCGTAGTCAGACCCTAGGGATGCTCCACACGGCACCCTAGGTGGCTTCTCCCTTTCTTCAAACTTCTCCCTCATGCACACCTCTCTGAATCCTCTTCGGCCCTTCTACATTGCTACTTGTACCCCAGGCCATCTGCACGATCCTTTCACGCCTCGGTCCCTGTCTGGCCCCTTCACAGCTTCTCCCATCGCAGACCTTCACCGATTACGGTTTCTCCAGATTCTCTCCACCGCTACTGCCCTCTGCGGCGTCTCTGCGTCGTCCTCCTCTCTGCAGCCCCCGGCGTCCTCTCCGCGGCCCCTCTGCTCTAGCTCCCCAAGCAGGGGCTCCCTCCGCGGCACGGCGTCTCTGCGTCGTCCTCATCTCTGCAGCCCCCGGCGTCCTCTCTGCTCTAGCTCCCCAAGCAGGGGCTCCCTCCGCGGCTCCTGTCCCCAAAGGAAACGATACGACTAGGGCGCCACCGTGCGGCTCCCGCCCCTCTCCGCGCCCCTTCTCCACCCGCGCGCGTGTCTTCCCTCCAGGTCACCCGCGGGGTCTCCGCCGCTCCGAGCCTGGCCGCGTGTCACCACTCGCGGCTCATGACTTTCGCTCGCAACGTGGGTCACTCACTCGCACGCGCCACACGCCAGGACCTCGGAATCAAAACTCCCCGGGGCGCGTGCCCCCGGAACCGGAAGCCCGGGTTAGCCCCGCCCCCTCCCC